ATTCTCCTCCCTGAGGACTAGCTTTCCTGGTACTAGACGGTATCATGGAAGCTGACAAGGGAAAAAAGTAATCAATAGTCCTCCTCAGCTGTGACACCTACAAACCACAATGACCAGCAGAGCAGAGATAGCCATAGGTGCAACAGTGGCACTTACGATTGAGTGAGAGCCAACCACTGTTTAATCTGAGGTAAGATCAGCTCAATGGGAGGGAATTCATTCCTGTACTATAAACCTAGCCAACTACCCATGCCTGGTGAGGCCATGGAACCTAGAGAAAAACCTACTACTACCACTTTCCCTACCAGTATAATCTCTAGCTGCTTTTTTGTTCAGCCCTTCTCTTCCCCTCTAACTGCATTCCTAATACTTATCCTTCCACTCACAGACAGTGTAACTCTCACCCTTCATCAAAGAAGCTTCTCTTACAACAGCTGGAAACCACACAGAAAGTCACACTAGTCAAAATGCAGAAAACAACTGACTGTGGTTGCTCAGCCCCAATTGATACATCTACAGCACAACTCCTACACCTAAGGTTCACCCACAGGATATCAAATAATAAGAATCAGAGGACCAGGACACCTGCTGCAAACATGTGTTGCCTATATATGACACAGAAGCTGCCCCCATGAACTCAAAACAATATGGTTACCTACATAAGACCTGGGTAATGACAACACCCTATTGTTTGGAGCCCCTTATATAATCAATCTGTTGGCTAGTTTTATGTCAATTTGATGCAAGCTAAAGTCATCTGAGAAGAGAGAACCTCAAATGCCTCCATAAAATTGGGTTGCAGGCAAGCCGGTTGAGCATTTTCTTAATTACTAACTGTTAGGGGCGGACCCAGTCCATTGTGGGTGGGACCACACCTGGGCTGGTGGTTCTGGGTTCTACAAGAAAGCAGACTGAGCAGGCCATAAAAAGCAAGCCAGTAGGCAGCACCCCTCCATGTCCTCTGCATCAGCTCTTGCCTCCAGGGTCCTGCTCTGTTTGAGTTCCTGTCCTGACTTCCTTTAATGATGAGCTGTGATATGAAAGCATAAGCCAAATAAACCCTTTCCTCCCCAATTTGCTTTCGTAGTAACTCTAACTCTGACACAATCTTCTTGAGTAGTAGTGCATATAAAACACATCACTGATGATCTAGCTTCCAAAATCTAGATCACCAAAAGGCATGTTCCTAGACTCACATCACTCTTGGATGGCCCTCCAGTTTTCTGTGTATCATTGATCCTCCTAACCAATCATCCTACTTACTCTTACTTCTGCCTATTCTCATGTCACTCATAACTGAAAGCCAAGGTGAAGTGTCAAGCATACAACCTGCCCCATACCAAATTCACATTAGTCCAGTCCTGTGACGTTTATGACCTACACCATATTTCCTTTTTAAAAACATATTCAAAGGAACACGCTTGAAGGCATTACTCCAGGAAATTTGTGTCTACCACACAGATCTCACTCTTCAGTCTCAAAGTATACTGCTATCTTAATGGTCTGGGAAATCCTAATATCCCAACACAGCTGACTGCAGCAACCAGCTGACATTTTGAAAGCACTAGCATGCTCTCAAACATAACTTGGGATACTACTGCTTTTGTCTGTTTTTTTAATTTTTTTCTTAAGATTTATTTATTTATTATGTATACAGTGTTCTGTCTGCACGTATCTCTGCAGGCCAGAAGAGGGCACCAGATCTCATTACAGATGGTTGTGAGCCACCATGTGGCTGCTGGGAATTGAACTCAGGACCTTCGGAAGAGCAAGCAGTGCTCTTAACCTCTGAGCCACCTCTCCAGCCCTTGTGTGTTTTTTTTTTAATTCAAGCATTATCCATACTTTTTAATACCTTTTCTAGTCTTATTAGATTACAAGTATGTATATCTCTGTGTTTCCCAAAACTGACTGGAAGTTCTTTAGGAAATTCTGTTGTTACTTCGGATATTTAAAGACCTGCAGAGGACCATAAGCTAGATCCCGACTGTTCAACTGAAGACCTCTCTAACATGTAAAGAGCAGAGTATTTTTACTAAAGCAACCTGTCCCTAACATGGAAATCATTAGCTGATAATGTGAACATGATAAATAGACAGACAGATCTGGGCCTGTTGTATCCCCCCTGTGTTATATAGTAATTTCTTCCAAATTAAAACATTCCATCCTGGAAGGAGGCTTCTTAAGACTCGGAAAGTAAATGAAGTTTACAAAGCTCAAGAAATAAACAACTCACAAGTCTCAGAAATCACCTGACACAAGATTAGCAAGGCTCCTCCCCCAAGGTAAACTAAGCGGTGACAAATGTGGGGCAGGACACTCTCAAGTAGCTGAGGTGTTAACAGGTTGTACAGGGAGCTTCAGGAACACAGCCTTCATGAATCATCACCCATGCTGCAACGGGCTTTTCAGTCATGCATCTGAGTCATCCGTGTTCCTCTAAGCCCACACCCATGCTCTGTAAGTAAGCCCCAAAACTCATTAGTTCAGCAAGCTGAACTATGGTAGAGTCATTTTGATCTATCACTGGTCCCTTATCTGGAGTGAATAGATGTGTTTGTTCATGTTTCCGCAGGAAGGCATACAACACCCCGAAATTCAGACATCATAGTACCAGCCCCCGAGTACTTCAAAATACAGCAGTATTTGCAAAGTACAAAGGCAATGAGGGCTAAATGAGGTTATGTGGGAAGACCCTGATCCAACTTGTCACTCTTAAAAGAAATTTAGACATACCAGGATGCACACGCACTGAAGATAGATCAGGTGAAGGAAGACACATTGAGAAGGTGACAAGACAATAACAATGGCCTCAGAAGAAACCAACTTGACAACTCTTCAATTTGGAACTTCTAAACTCCAGAATTATGAGAAAATAAATTTCTGTTATGGTATTTTGTTACAAACTAAATCAGATCACCTATCCTGAATGCTACCTAACTACATAAACACATGCACACATAAAAGTGCCTTTGCTCACAGAGTAACTCAGTGATTAACAAAAACATTCTATGTTCAGAAGACAGTCATTAAAATAATGAAGAAACCTGAAGTAAAATGATAACTAGCTGAGGAACTGGGGAACACTGAAAAAGACTACTAATGAAGAGGAAGTGGGAAGACAGGCTTTTATCCATGTAAAATCAAAGAGAAAAAAAAAAATGAGTGGCTGAAAGTAGACTGACTTCAGCTCAAAATCAGAACCTGTAATACTTAAACCTACACAAATGCAGGATGAGCTACTCAAAGGAAGGTTTACCGTCAGGAAAGATGAAGAAGTATAGTTTGGACAATCCATCAGGCAGGAGCATTATAGGTCCCACTGAATGTCAGATGGAAAGTAGGATTAGAAGTCTCTTCGATTCTAGCAGCACTTTGTCTCTGGGTCCCTAAAATACCTATGTTGCATCAACCCACAGCAGCACCTGCTCTCAGACACAGCAAGGGCAGAAAGAGGAAGAAAAAGATGTGCTCCTGTCATCAAAACAAGAGTCTGCAGGAACAAAGCCTTCAAGAAATATTAGTGTTCAAAGAACCATTACCATGCCAAAAAGAAAGCTAAATATAATTTTTGTAAATCTAAATGCCAGTTTATATTGCTTCTGTAAAATATCTTCTACATTCCAAATTAACTCAACACAATATGGGAAATGTACTGTTTAGGAGGCAATCTACTTGGATACTTTATGTATGCTGTATTTTCTCCCCAAGAGTGTAAATTCCTCAGGGACAAAGGGTGTGCTTTTTGCATACCAACACATCTGTAGGGTGATGCCTGACTAACAATTCTGCTTCACTAATAGAGATGAAACTCAGTAGACTCAAAAATTTGCAAATCGAGGCAAAGTATTTATGAGTTAGGGCACGGACTAATCAATTTCCTCTTCAAATAGTTTCCTTGCAAAAACCCTGGAAAAGTCATTTAACCTCTCTCGTCTGTTTTACCATCTGCAAAGTAATCCAACTGAAGGCTACAAGATATATTCCAACAAAAAAGCATGTTACACAATAAATACATAGCAAGGTTTAACAGACCACTCAGCACATACCGCTATGTACTACTAGACATGTAAGGTATTTTCATTACAATTATTCTGTACAAAACGCTACAAGACATTGAAGTTTTTAAATAAATAGAACAACTCCTCATTTTCCTACCAGAAAATCAAAACAATTGGTTTAATGTACAAGCACATATAGCTGAAGGTATCATTAGTGAAGATTTTGACTTTGAGACAGAAACTTGCTTCTTCCGGAATTCTCCAAAGGAATCCAACAATCAAAAAAGGAATAACATTATTCTGCACCCAACCATGGTACTCTGAGCCTACGTCAATTAACAGCACACTTCACACAACCCACATTTCTTCCTTTTAGAACCTGTTCCTTTCTTTAAAGGCAAAGAACAGTCAAACTTTTCCATAATCTGGACCCTGAACTTCCTATGTATGCCCCGCTCCTCACCCCCTACCAGCACAATCCTTACTGCCCCGCCAACAGAGGCAATCCGATGAGGCAGGCTGCGTGACCCGGGTTCCGGAGTAATCCAAACCACTACGCAGACCGCACCTGAGGTGGCCCGGCCCCAGGCCACAGGGGCACAGCCCCATCCTACTTCAGTGACAGGAGCACTGCCACCTCATCACCGCCAAGTTCACTGTGTCTGCGAACATACCCACTCTATCCCGCGCAAAGGGAGGACGACCCCCAGCCCCACGCCCGGGCCCAATCCTTTCTTCCCCTAAATACCATTTCAACTGCCTTAGATTTTAACTTCTGCTCAAAGCGAAAGCAACCAGAACCCACCTGGAGCATGCAGAACTGCCGCAAAGTACAAATCTGGAAGGCGCATGCGCATTTCCCCAGGCATCGCTTGCGTGAGGGGAAGTAGCTGAGCGATCACTAACTCGAAATTTGATTAAAATGGTCTTTACATGGATTAAGAGTGGGAGCGCGACTCCATCGTTGCGCATGCGCTTGCTCTGAGCCTGATGGGAGTTGTAGTTTCGCGGTGCTACCCACATGACTTCAGTGTATGGAACCCGAAGTCCTAGTTCAGGGTCCCATTGCTGCTCATTACTGGGCAGCAGTCCAGAGACGGGCCCAGTGGCCGCGTCTGGACAACCCTGCCCGCAATGCTGCCGCTGTGGGTGTCGGTGGTCGCAGCGACGGCGCTGGCGGCGCCGGCCCCCGGAACACGAGAGCAGAAGCTGCAAGTGGCCCAGGCACCCAACGTGGTGCTTGTTGCCAGTGACTCCTTCGTAAGTACTCTGAGGACGGCGAGCGGACGCCGCCCACAGCCTGTGGAGGGACGACAGGGAGAGCGGGACACTGGGGTTGAGAGGTCCTGCACGCGCACTCCTGCACACGTGTGTGCCTGTATGCAAAGTAATAGTAAGAAGGCGGTCTCGAACTTCTGGGCTCTGGCGATCCTTGTGCCTCAAACTCGAGAGACGACACTCGAGCTCCACAGGCACAGATTTTTACTTTTTAAAGCCAGACTAGGTCCACTAAAACATTTGCCATTATAAATTAATGCTTAGCCTGTATCCTGGTTTAATTCAGTTATGAAGAGAAATCCATTGTGCACTTCCATAAAAGCTTATTCTTTTTCCAAAATGACGTGCCAGTCACCTACGTTTGCAATTAATTTACATTAAATTTAAATTAAAATTAATGTTTGGATGAGAAATGAAGGACATTTAATTATCTAGACCAGTGGTACTCAACCTATGGGTCGCGATCTTCTGGGGGTCAAACGACTTTTCACAGGAGTTGCCGAAGACCATTGGAAGTATCAGATATTTACATTGCGATTCATAACAGTAGCAAAATTACAGTTATGAAGTAGCAACAAAATGATTTTAGGGTTGGGAGTCATTAAAGGGTTGCATCATTAGAAAAGTTGAGAAACACTGATCTAAATATTTAATAATTGTGTTCATGCTGGTTTAAATGTTAGTTGTTATAATTTAACCTACTTTTGCCGGGCAGTGGTGGTGCACACCTTTAATCCCAGCACTGGGGAAGAGAGGGGGAGCGATCTCTGTGAGTTCCAGGCCAGCCTGGTCTACAGGGCAAGTTCCAGAACAGCTAGGACTGAAATCTTGTCTCAGAAAAACAAATAATAATAATAATAATAATAATCCGCTTTCTTGAAAAAGACGATTGATAAGAAATAATACATTTCAATTTCAAAGCTTATGATAAAGCTATAATAATACATTACTGGCAGATAAATATTTAGATCAATAGAATAGATTTAAGAGTCTCGAAATAAATTTTTATAAACAACTAGTGCTGGGGAAATTAAATATCCACATGTACAAGAACAAAATTGAGCCCTGTCTTCCTCCGTGTGTAAAAATTAACTTGAAATGAGTCTATGAGTTAAAGACTCCTTCAAGAAAATGGAAGTGTAAATTTTCATAATCTTGGATTAGACAGTTTAAAATGAGCCAAAGATTTGAAAAGATATTTCCCCATAGAATATACACAGGTGGCCAATAAGCACATAAGACATTGCTTAGCATTGATGATCATTAGGGAATTGTAGATCAAACCATAGTGAGACATTATGTAGATCAAACCAGTTCATTCCCATAAGGATAGCCAGAATCAAAAGGGCATAAAAGTGTGAGGGGGGTATTTGAGAAGACAGGGAGCCACAGGAGCCAGAGGAGGTGATGTGGAGGTAAATATAATCAAAGTATGAAACTGTTGCAATAAGTGCATTATTTTGTACAGTTAATATATGATAAGAAGTTCTTCCCTGTACTAATTACACACACACACACACACACACACACACACACGATAGACAATAACCACAGTTTGTGAGAATATGGAGGCATTGGGAACCTCATATAATGCTGTTGAGAATGCTTTGTAAAGTGGTGAAGCCACTTTGGGAAAGCGTTGACAGTTTTTTCGGTAATTAACTATAGAGTTACTATGCAATCCAGCAATTCTATTCCTAGGAGAGTGTGTGTGTGTGTGTGTGTGTGTGTGTGTGTGTGTGTGTGTGTGTGTCCAAGAGAAATAAAAGCATAGTCCACACAAAAGCTTCTACATGAGTATTCATAGCAATATTATGCTAGAAGATGAAAAGTGAAAGCAACCTAAACATCCATCTACTGGTAAATGTATAAATGAAATTTCATAGTATTATTCAGCAACCAAAAAAGAAATACAAAAGTCACGCATGTTACAAAGTGTTTGAACCTAAAAAACTATATGTTCTCAGTAAAAGAAATGACGATGGACTAAAATTTATATGAATCCATGTATCTGAAATGTCCAGAGAAAGCTCCTGTGTAGAGACAGGAAGTGTGTTAGTAGTTGCCTCAGTTTAGGATGTGTGCAGGGTGATGGCTAAGGGTTCTATTGGGAATGATGAAAGTATTCTAAATGACTTTCTAAATATACTAAACAACCTTTGAATTGCACCCTATAAGTAAGTTGTATGTAAATTCTATCTGGATAAAGTTTTGTTTTTAAGAAAAGATAAAAAGCACTACTGCTCGGGCCTTTAAGAACAAGGGACCCTCTTGCACTTCTGAGTCCACACACACTGCACGTCCTCTCTGTTGCAGCTACAGTGGTATGGTGGTTTGAAAGAAAATGGTTCCCAAAGGAAGTGGCACTATTAGGAGGTGTGGCTTTGTTGGAGTACTATGACCTTGTTAGAGGAAGTATGTCACTGTGGGGGTGGGATTTGAGGTCTCTTTTGCTCAAGCTTCACTCAGTGTGACACTCAGTCCACTCCCTGTTGCCATCTGATCAAGATGTAGCCAGTACCATGGGTGCCTGCAAACTGCCATGCTCCCTGCCACGATGATAATGGACTGAACCTCTGAATTGTAAGCCACCACCTCAGTTAAATGTTTTCCTTTTTAAAAGTTGCCATGGTCATGTGTTTTTTACTCTTCAGGCTCTTTTGGGGGCCTACCACCCAGCTCCCAAATAAATCACTCACGGAGGCTTATTCTTTCTTATGAATGCCCGGCCTTTACTTGGCTTGTTTCTAGCCAGCTTTTTTAAAATTATCCCATCTATCTTTTGCCTCCTAGCTTTTATCTTTCTCTATTTCTGTGTACCTTTCTTTACTTCTTCATGGTTTACTGTGTAGCTGGGTGGCTGCCCCTGGTGTCCTCCTCCTTTTCTCGCTCTTCCTTTGGCTTCTCTCAGATTCTCTCTGCCTGCTAACCCTGCCTATCCTTTCTCCTGTCTCACTATTGGCTATTCAGTTCTTCATTAGACCAAAGAGGTGTTTTAGATAGGCAAAATAACACAGCTTCACAGAGTTAAACAAATGCAACATAAAAGAATGCAACACATCTTTGCATCATTAAACATGTTCCACAGTATGAACAAATGTAATACATCTTAAGATAATATTCTACAACACTTCATAATAATCGAAACCCTAACAGGAGTTGATACCAGGGACTGGCATTTGTTTGGAGAAATTTTGGACTTTGGTACTATGGGTTAGGAAAGCAGTAGAGTGCTTTAAGCAGTGCTTAATGGGCCATACTTGTAGGAGCTGGGAAGACAGTGGGACTGGTAATGATTTGAACTATCAAGGGCTGGCTCAAGAGGTTACAGAGGAGAAAAATATTAATATGTGGCCTAGAGATTGTTCTTGTGATATTTTGGTGAAGAATGTGACTGCTTTTTGCCCTTGTCTGAAGAGTCTGCCTGAGGCTAAAGTGAAGAGCTTTGGATTAATTCCGTTAGCAGAGGAAATTTCAAAACAGCCTAGTATAGACTCTGTCATGTGGTTATTAGTGTTAACACTAATGAAGATTTATAATGAAAAAGAGCAAACTGAACAGATAAAAATACAAAACGTACAATTTGAGGAGAAAAAGGCACACCCGGAAGTAGAATAGAGTTAAAGCCTGTGTTCAAGGAGATAAACAGATTAAGAAATGGAAAAAAGGGAGTGGTGACCTCAGGGCAAGATCCAGCTAAATTTCCAACTTGTGAAAAGGAATTAAAGAAAAGCTTAGAGCCAGGTGTAGTGGTGCACGCCTTTAATACCAGCACTCAGAAGGCAAAGGCTGGCAGATCTCTGAGTTTGAGGCCAGCCTGGTCTACAGAGCAAGTTTCAGGACAGCTAAGCTTAGGCAGTGAAGAACAGAAAGCTGGTGAAGATGGAATTGCATGGGAGTGCCATGTTCCAGCCTCAGTAAGCAACAGAACTTGGCAGCTTCAGCCACATGGTTCTGGAGTTAAGGAGCTATGGAATTTGCCCCCAAGACTAAGGAAAGCCTTCTGTGGGATGGTCTGTATGTCAAGTGTGTTGCTGATTGGTCAATAAATAAATCACTGATTGGCCAGTGGCCAGGCAGGAAGTATAGGCGGGACAAGGAGGAGAAAAAAGCTGGGAAGTGGAAGGCTGAGTCAGGGAGACACTGCCAGCCGCCGCCATGACAAGCTGCATGTGAAGATGTAGGTAAGCCACGAGCCACGTGGCAAGGTATAGATTTATAGAAATGGATTAACTTAAGATATAAGAACAGTTAGCAAGAAGCCTGCCATGGCCATACAGTTTGTAAGCAATATAAGTCTCTGTGTTTACTTGGTTGGGTCTGAGTGGCTGTGGGACTGGCGGGTGACAGAGATTTGTCCTGACTGTGGGCCAGGCAGGAAAACTCTAGCTACAAAAGCCACTGAGGCCAGGCATGTGTCAGGGGTGTCCCTGAATGGAGGCCTGGAGAGGCCATTGTATGAAGCTGTGAAGCTGAAGCCTGGATTGCCTTAGAGATCCCAAGATGTTGGAGATGCCAGAGTCATGGGATACCTGCCGAGGATAGCTACCAACAGGGAGTGGAACCAGCCCAAGAGAAAGAGGCATGTTGTAGTCAACAAAGCTGACTTGGAGTTGGAGATCTGAAGAGTGTCTTGACATCAGACATGAAGATGCAGGGTTTGGAGTTTGCCTGGCTGGTTTTCAGTCTGGCTTTCCAGTATTTCCTCACTATGCTTCCTTCCCTGTGTTTTGGAAGGGTAATATATATCCTGTGCTTTATATGTTGGAAGTATATCATCTGTTTTTGATTTTGATTTTATAGGGGATTACAGTTAAGAGATTGCATGAATCTCAGAAGAAACTTTGAACTTTGGACTTTTAAACATTGTTGAGACTGTGATAGACTATGGGAACTTGTGAACTTAGACTGAATGCATTTTGCTTTATGATATGGCTTCAAGACTTTGGGGGCCAGGGAGTGGAATGTGGTAGTTTGTAAGAAAATGGCCCCCAAAGGGGGCCATTACACTGTAAGCTGCCACCTCAGTTAAGTGTTTTCCTTTATAAGAGTTGTTGTGGTCATGGTGTCTCTTCACAGCAATAGAAACCCTAACTAAGACAAGTAGTTTTCATTTTGATGAGGGTTCAGAAATCAATAGTAGCACGGGAATGTATATTGCAGACTCTCTTAAGAATATCACTTGTCATGGTCAATAAGTCTAAAAGGCATACAATAAACAGCCTTGCCGTAATGAATAAGACCTTCATTGTTTGACTCTTGGGTTAGGATGATGCTTTTCCTAGTGAACTTAATTTGTCAATTTGACATAACCTAAAATTATCTAAGGGGAAAGCCTCAACTGAAGAAATGCCTAGATCACACCGGCTATGAGTATGTCTGTGGGAGTACCTTAATTAGCATTTCTATTGCTGTGATAAAACACTGTAACTGAACAAAACTTGGTGGAGAAAGGGTTTTTTTCATCTTGAAAGTCTCATACTCCGTCCAATCCCGATGGAACTAAAGCAGAAGCCGTGGAGGAAGAATGCTTACTGGCTTTGCAACTCTTGACTTGCTTATCCTGCTTTCTTATACAACCCAGGACCCTTGGCCCAGAATTGGCGTTGCCCAAAGTGAGATGGACCCTCCCACATCAATCAATCAAGCAAATACCCCCCAGACTTGCCCATTGGCAATCTGATGAAGGCATTTTCTCAGCTGAGGTTCCTCTTCCTGGATAACTAGCTTGTGTCAAATTAAAAAAAAAAAATGGGACAGGGAGATTGTATTGATTATTAATTGATACAGGAGAGCCCAGAGCATTGAGGGCCCCACCATCCCATGGCCTGTCTAGGTGGTTCTGGGCTATATATGAACTCTAACTCTAGGACCAGGCAGTGGTAGCACACGCCTTTAGTCCCAGCACTTGGGAGGCAGAGGCAGGCAGATTTCTGTGTGTTCCAGGACAGCTAGGGCTACACAGAGAAACGGTGTCTAAAAAACTGGGAAAAAAAGAACACTAACTAAGCATAAAACTGTGAGTGAGCTAGCCAGAAACCAAGTCAGCAAACAGTGTTCCCACATGGTTTCTGCTCCTCAAGATCCTGCTTGAATTCCTGCCTTCTCAGTTATGGACTGTAACCTGGAAGTAATAAATCTTTCTTCCTGTACATTGCTTTGAGTCATGGTTATGTTTGTCACAGTAACAGAGTAAAACTAGAACAATGCTTGAAATCTAAACTTCTCCTTTGATCCTCCTTAGTCCAGAATGATAAGGAACTAAATACCATGCCATGGTTCAGAAGCAGCAATTAGAATTTATTAGAATTCATAGCCACAGCTGGGATGTAGCTCATTTGGTACAGTACTTGTCTAGCATGCACAGATCCCTTAGTTCAATCACCAGCACCACATAACGAGGAAAAGGTAATGTATGCCTCTGATCCCAACAGTCAGGAGGCGGGAGACTGGGAATCAGAAGTTTAAGGTCATGATAACAAGTCAGAGGTTGCCTGGGATACATGAGACCCTGTTTCAAAGGAAAAAGTATATATTTGTGCAGATTTACACATATAATTCATACAAGTATTCAAAGTTAATTTGCTAATGTTCTTTTTACCTCTCCCAATGGGGTGTGAGTTTCCTGGGAATGGGACTCTATTTTATCTCACCATTGTATCCTCAGACCTTGCAAGGTGCCTGATACATAAATACACAAGTATTTAAGGTTTATTAAAATAATTTTTTAATTATTTCTTCCTTCTCCAAATGAGCTTTCCTAGAAGCACTTTAACTTAATATATGCAAATGAATTTGAGCATAACTTTCTTTCAAATGTTATTTGGGCACTGGATCCTTATAACATACCTCTGCTTTTTATTTTTGAGATTTCATGAAAACGTATTGAAGTCTTTGGGGTAGTAAATTTTGTGTTTAAAATTAAAGGGGGAAAATTTTTTTGGTAACGTAATCAAGGGTGTCATGGAACTGGAGTTACAGACAAGTGTGAACCATGTGGGTACTGGGAACCGAACCCAGGTCCTCTAGAAGAGCAGTCAATATTCCCAACTGCTAAGCCATCTCTCCAGCCCCCAAACAGATCTATTCTTATCTGAGGCAATGATAAGAAGTAATAGTTTTTATTCAATGAGTTGGGTTTTTTTTTCTCTTCTTCTTAAAATACATCCTTGAATTTTAGCATTCCATGATCTTGTTCTTGATTTAACAACCTGAATTTTCTATCTTCCCGCCTTTGGTTTTTGAAGCCCAATATTGATTTAAGGATGAGACACAGCTCTATGAAACGGCATCATAAACTAGCACACTGTTGTGTGCAATCTGGAGATAGAAATGAAAAGAATATTGCTGCCATCGCCTCTAATTGTTCAAGCCTGTGATGGTTATGTGAATGAAGAAAGACTAGGTTGGGAATGGGGGGCTCACAGGGCAAAAGGGATTGCTGCACAAGCCTGATGGCCTGAGTTTGCTATCTGCACAGCAAAAGTTAAAGTGGAAGGCCAAGGATGGACACTGAAACTTGTCCTCTGTCCTCTGTGTGTACAGGGTGATCAGCAGTGGCTGAATTTCTTTATTTCAGGATGGAAGACTAACATTTCAACCAGGAAGTCGGGTGGTAAAGCTTCCCTTTATCAACTTCATGAAAGCGCATGGCACCACCTTCCTGAATGCCTACACTAACTCTCCCATCTGCTGCCCATCTCGTGCAGGTATGAATGTGCCTAAAAGGACGTCCAGATTTAAAATATCATATGCAAAAATCTATCATAAACTCACATCTAGTACCTAATAAAAATGCCTCAGTGAAATTGCTGTGTGTTCTAAGGTATGAATGTTGGGGTCATTTGATTTTCTAATTTTTCTGAAGAATTTGTTTTAGAATTGAACTTGAATTTCTTGTTTTTCTAAAGAAGGGCTTTTTCTTGCCTGAGATGCTGTCTAGTTCCTGTGTTGCTGTTTCATTTCTTCATTTGACTGTCAAAGCAGATGAGCAGGTACTCTTGCTTTAGAGAGTTCTGTTTCCAGGAAGTCTTTCTGGGAAGGCTTAGGAAGGAGTCAGCAGGCTCTCTGGAAGATTCTTCCCAGGCAGAACTCATATTCATGTTTATCTGAAGTTTTCCAAATTATTTCAGACTGTATGCTTCATCTCTTTCTCTTCTGTCCCAATTTACATCTATCACAAATCTAAGGGCTCACTTTATTGTAATAATTTAACAAATAGCCGTAATTTTGATGGCAAGCATGTCAGTGATTATAAGCTATAAGTTTAGAAAATGAAAATTTGTTTTTAAGAATCTTGTCTGAAAGGTACTCTCCTGCCGGATCCAGCCCAACCTTCAGACAGTCCTTGGTATAGGGGAGTGTGGATTGAGAAATAATAGGTATAAAAAAATATAAATGTAGACAAAAAGACAGAGACACAGGATAGCTTCAGGAGGGCTCTGGGTCAATACCACAGTGGCCTCAAGTTTATTCCTTTTTTTTTTTTTTTTTTTTTTTTTTTTTTTTTGGTTTTTCGAGACAGGGTTTCTCTGTGTAGCTTTGCGCCTTTCCTGGAACTCACTTGGTAGTCCAGGCTGGCCTCGAACTCACAGAGATCCGCCTGGCTCTGCCTCCCGAGTGCTGGGATTAAAGGCGTGCGCCACCACCGCCCGGCTTCAAGTTTATTCCTAATGGGCTTTTTATACACCAGCAAGGGGAGAGGCAAAAGACCTTCCCCTTTCAAAGTCAAGGTACAAAGTACAAGCAAGTGTATTTTCAGAACACCTCGTAACCACGCCTTACAGCTAAGCATCTTGTAATTAGAACTTGAAGTATAAGACACCTGGTAATCATGCCTTTGGCCAGAATGTCCCATTATGCAGCTTTGTCGGACAAAGCAAACCCATACTCTCTGACCCTGAGTCAAGATGGAATAAGGCCTCACTATGGAGTCTCTGTGGGCCCTCACTCTCCTTTGCCTCTGTTTGTATGGTCTTTGGTTATCTGCCATGGAACCTGTAAATAACCAAAAACAGTTTGATTTCTTTATGAGCCACTGAGATGATAGTCTCTGTGATTTCAGTTATAACCACCTTCACTATATTTCTAGAGCTATCTGGTCACCAATGGTTAAGAAAACCTATGTTATCCTAATTGATATTTCAACGATGAAAGATACATCATATGTAAAATCATGTTTGCTGACTGCTGTCCTGTGTTGACTAGAAGGAGCCTGAGCTAGGGTAAGGTGACTCTAAACCTCAGTGAACCCTTAATCAGCTTAACCTCTAGGCCTTGGTGGGCTCCTCTGAAGAACAGAAATGCTAACTCCTTCTAAATCTGCCTCTCCAATAAAATGAGTAGCATTGAGAAATGTCTGGGAACTGCTGCAGCCAATGGCATTTCTTATTCCAGATCACAGACTGTAATAAAACAGCTAGCACACTCTCAGAGTAATTGCTTTTATAGTTAAATTGCTAAGATTTACCTTAACCAGTTTCTGTTATTTCTTTTTTTTCTTCAGCAATGTGGAGTGGCCTCTTCACTCACTTAACAGAATCTTGGAATAATTTTAAGGGTCTCGATCCAAATTATACAACATGGATGGATGTCATGGAGAAGCATGGCTATCAGACTCAAAAATTTGGAAAACTGGACTATACTTCAGGACATCATTCCGTTAGGTAAAAATTAAAACAGACAAAATTAACCCAACACTGGCCTCTGCTGTCATACGTTCATGTACTCTCTTTATACTTACTTTACAGTAAGGCTGAAAATAATTCTTTTACTCCCTCAATTATACCAATTTGGCTAAATCTTAACTTTCTTTAATTTTGTTAAAATATTTAAATTGTTAATATTCTGATGGTTTTTTGTCTAAAACATAAATATCTATAATTAATGGATTTTAGTATTTGTAAAATAGTTTAGCCTCTGAATTATTTTGTGAGTTTCTGTTATATAATATTTTTTTCATTTTACAATCTTTGTAACAGAAGCCTTCTTTAACTTTAATGGTTCTCTAGAACTTGAAGTCATTGTAACTTTTCTTTCATTTTAGTAAACCTTCAAAAGGCAGGCAGCTATCTTAGCTAGGGGTTTGGCTCAGTGGTAGAGAACATGCTTAGCATGCACAAGGCCCTGGGTTCTACCCACAGCACCGCAAAAAGAAATGAGCAGCTAAGCACTGTGGTAAAGAGTGAAAATCTAATATCAGATTGCCTCATTTTGAATTCTAGCTTCTCTAATTACTACTAAACTTGTGGTTGTGTAGTCTTGAAGACACCTAAGCCCTCTGAACTTTAATATGATGACTAAACTAGATAATTAGTGCAGGAAATTGCTAACATGCAGACCTGAAACTTACCATAACAATATTTGCCTACCCATATGATTGTCCCTGACTGGTGTCTGGGAACTTGAGTCTCAAGGGTATTTTTCCACCGTTCTGTAACTGGTAGGCATGACCTGGAGTGTTTGTATAATGTGATTTATGTTAAACAATCAGCTTTCTTTGGAGACAAGAATTTTGGTATGGGGTAGGTCCAAGGTGCCCACATGATTAGCCTTCAATAAAAACCAGAGTACTAGTTCTCTGAGTCAGGGCAGTACTTCACATGCACTGAATAGAGACAGCACATCCCCCATAGTTACAACCCCATATGGGAAGAATCTGGGGTACTCTTGAGCTCTCTGCTTGGAAGCTTGTGCCTCGTTCTGTTGGTCTGCACCCTGTGCATCTCTTTGTGCTGATTTAGCTGTGTGCACTTTGATATAAACAGATATCCCAAGTCCTGCAGTTCCTCCTGCAAACCTGGGTGTGATCTGCAGTTCCCTAACACTTGGGACTCCCAACAGAAACACAAGACTAGGTAGTGCCTTGTGCCTAGTAAGTGATGATTGAGAGTGACAATAATAATAGTGATGAGAGATCGTAAGCAAGAGAATTGAAAACTAAATGTCATAAAAATGGCAGTCAGGGTGATGATTTGAACAATGTTCCATGCAAACTTGATGAGCACTGGGAGTTATTTGGAAATAGATCCTAACTACAGATGTAACTAACTAATGTATAGATGTCTCAAGATGACAACCACTATACTTAGGATAAATGCTAAATGCAGTTCCCTCCACTCTTATTATAAGAAGGGGACAGGCACAGATGCGCAGAGGGGACAGTTAGGTTCAGAAGCGGAGACTGGAGTGACACCAGAGCAAGTCAGAGAATGTGACAGATCCCTGGAGTCACGGTAAACCAGGCAGACACAGTGAGCAGTCCCACAGAGAGCCTTCAGTGAGCTGTCCCACAGAGAGCCTTCAGTGAGCAGTCCCACAGAGAGTCTTCAGTGAGCTGTCCCACAGAGAGTCTTCAGTGAGCTGTCCCACAGAGAGTCTTCAGTGAGCAGTCCCACAGAGAGCCTTCAGTGAGCCTTCAGTGAGCTGTCCCACAGAGAGTCTTCAGTGAGCTGTCCCACAGAGAGTCTTCAGTGAGCAGTCCCACAGAGAGCCTTCAGTGAGCAGTCCCACAGAGAGCCTTCAGTGAGTCTTCAGTGAGCTGTTCCACAGAGAGCCTTCAGTGAGCTGTCCCACAGAGAGTCTTCAGTGAGCAGTCCCACAGAGAGCCTTCAGTGAGCTGTCCCACAGTGAGTCTTCAGTGAGCTGTCCCACAGAGAGTCTTCAGTGAGTCTTCAGTGAGCTGTCTCACAGAGAGTCTTCAGTGAGTCTTCAGTGAGCTGTCCCACAGAGAGTCTTCAGTGAGTCTTCAGTGAGCTGTCCCACAGAGAGCCTTCAGTGAGCTGTCCCACAGAGAGCCTTCAGTGAGCTGTCCCACAGAGAGTCTTCAGTGAACTGTCCCACAGAGAGTCTTCAGTGAGTCTTCAGTGAGCTGTCCCACAGAGAGCCTTCAGTGAGTCTTCAGTGAGCTGTTCCACAGAGAGTCTTCATTGAGCAGTCCCACAGAGAGCCTTCAGTGAGTCTTCAGTGAGCTGTCCCACAGAGAGCCTTCAGTGAGTCTTCAGTGAGCTGTCCCACAGAGAGCCTTCAGTGAGTCTTCAGTGAGCTGTCCCACAGAGAGCCTTCAGTGAGTCTTCAGTGAGCTGTCCCACAGAGAGCCTTCAGTGAGTCTTCAGTGAGCTGTCCCACAGAGAGTCTTCAGGAGGAACACAGCTCTGCTGACACACCAGCTTCAGACTTGCTGTCTCTGGAGGTGTGCAAGAGCACATTGTTGGTTTAAGTGGCTCACTCTGTGGTAACTTATTAAGCAAGCCCTAAGGAGGTAGTACAGTGAGTTTGCAGTTAAACAAATACTAGAATAATCTAAGTATTGTTTTGCTCTTCTTTCTAACATTAAATTTCTCTCCTTTTCCGTGTTTAAAATCTAAAATACAGCCACACTACAGGTTCAGGTGTCACCTTAACATGTCTGCCCCTCTGTCCCTCATCACCAAGTGTTGGCAGTTCCACTGTGAAGCGCCTCAGCTTGTTCACTTCCCGCCCCTCCAGGCTCCTGTCATTCTTACCTGAGTTATTAAAATGGCTTCCAGGTGAACTCATCCCTAATGGTGATCTTTAGAAATACACCTGATCAATCCCATAACTTACCTGCTCTGAATCCATGAGTCTTCTTCTCTGATTTCATTAGATTCCCACATCTACAGCATGGTTTATAAGACCCCACCTGCTTACAGTGTGATGCATGCCATGCTTTCCTGCAGAATGCACCTAATCTTACTAAAATGTCCTTAATGTGCTTTTCCCCAGGAACTGCTGTACAAGGTGGGCCTTCTGGGTAAAGTCTCTCCATGTATTCTGCTTTGCTTTGAGAATGTAGCAGAGAGAGGAGCGCAGACAACCCGCAGTGTGGGGAGCAGTGTTACCTGCTTACCATCCTTCTCACCTTGGGCAAGTCACCTCTCAAGTTTGGGGGCTCCTTTTATAAATTGGAATCTAATCACTCATTGAACAGCTGAGTCTTATCTGGGTTAGCATTAAAGAAACTGTAACAGGAATAAATAAAGTGTGTGGCAGTTCCTGGCACAGAATAAACATCCATCTGGTGGGAAAGATTGGAGTAATGTGGGATCCAGTCAACAAGCCTTACATCTCCTCCCTTTCTAACGTGATTTACATTCCTGATTATTTCATGGAATTGCACAAATTTCTCCTAAAAATATTTCCCTTTATTTTTATAGCGAAAACATACTTGTGGTGGTTTGAATGAGAGCTGCCCCATAGGCTCATATATTTAAATACTTGGTCCCCAGTTGGTAGAACTATTTGGGAAGGGTTGGGAGGTGTGGCCTAATTGGAGGAGGTATGTCACTGTGGGGTAGGCTTTGAGCTTTCAAAAGCTCACACAATTCCCAGTTAATTCTTTCTACCTCGTGTTTGTGGATTGAAATGTGAGCCCTTAGCTACTGCTCTAACACCATGCCTGCTATCATGATGTTCCTGCCATGATAGTCACAACTCGCTGAAACTGTAAGTCACATAAAGTGCTTTTCTATAAGTAGCCTTGGTCTCAGTGTCTTATCACAGCAATCAATAGTAACTAAGACAGAACCTGGAGGCTATTATAGAGACAGGTCTGATCATGCTGCTTTTGGAAAGAATAAGGAAGACGTGGGGACTTTGGATTGGGAAAGCCATTGAATGCTATAAATGGGGCTTAATCCTAATAGGAGCAGAGAACAGTGTGGACCTTTGGAGGCCCAGCTCAAGGTTTCAGAGGGGAACAATATTAGAAACTGGGCTAGAGACCGTTCTTGTGATATTTTAGCAAAAATGTGGCTGTTTCCTGTCCTTGTCCCCAAATTTGCCTGAGGTTAAGCTGAAAAATAATAGATTAATTTTCTAGGTCCAGGACGTTTCAAGACAACCGAATGTTAACTCTGTAGTATGATTATTTGTTATCACACTTATGCAGGCTACATAAAAAGAGAGTGAGCAGGGCAAAAGGAAATACAAAATATACAGTTAGAAGAGTAATAGAGCAGCAGCAGATTTAACGTTAGAGCCAGAACAGATGCTGAGAGAGAACGGAGATGCCTGAAATGAAACAACAAGGCACCACCAGCTAATCCTGCAATTTGTGGAAAAAGAGGTTGCCTCCTAAAAAGCAGCTACCAAGGAAAACATGCAGATATAATTCAGGGAGAAGCCAAGTTCCATCCCAAGCAAGCACACCAACTTGGTGGCATCAGCCCACATGCTTTTGGCATTAAAGTCCTGAAGGATACAGGAATAAAGGGCTGTGGAATCTTCCTCAGAGATTAAGGAAACCTGCTGAGGCCAGGTGTATGGCAGGGGAGGCCCTGCAGGGCCACTGGGTGAAGCTATAAAAATGAAGCCTTAATGTTGTTGGAGAAACCAGAGTCATGGGGTATCTACCAGGGAACGCTGCATACAGGGAGTGTGCTGCAGTCTGCAGAGCTGGAAGTGTGGAGCCATCTGAGCCCTTTGACTTCAGACACGGAGCTACAGGATTTAGAGTGTACCCTGCTGGGTTCGGGTCTTGCTTGGGCCCAATATTTCCTCAATATGCCCCCATTCCTCTCTTTTGGAATGGTAATGTATATTTTGTGTCATTATATATTAAAAGTATGTAAGTTGATTGTGATTTTTACAGGGTGTTACACTTAAGAGGTTGCCATAAGTCTCAGAAGAGACTGTTTTGGCCTTT